AGCTGCTTAGGTCCAGACCACTCTCGCACCCTCCTGCACACGCATTCAAATTTACAAATGTTTAGATTGGCATTGTCTAACTCATGTACTTCAGCAGAAACATCCAGGTCCTTTAGCATGCAACTACAACAAAAGCACCTTGCTAAACGCTCATTTTCTACGGCATGCAGCGCACATGTCAACAAATGTTAAGCAGGCCACACGTAGCTATTAACACACATTGGAATACAGAGAAGCAGCAGCTTCCCCTTCCACCTATGCCAAATGCATGGTATTTCTCGTATAGATATTGTGGTATATACTTTGTAGGGTAATTTTACAGAATATTTCCGCATAACGGATTGCAATGATTTTGGTATCGATGGATTGCTCTCATTCTGTGATGCAAATATATATATAAATTTTTGCATGGAAGCCCCCAAACCCCCACATTTTTGGCCCCAATAGCAGGGGAGAGTATGAAAGGCACGGGAAATTGTAGGGCAGACTATAAATAATGTATACAGAATCATTTACCCTATTGTCTAATGCAACCCCCCAAAGAGACTGCTTTGGGGGGTTGTCACATCAAAAGAGAGCTTCTCACATACTCGCCATTAGGCACCCTCGCATGTTGATTGTATGCTCTCTCCTGCCATGAATACATTGAGGATTCTTTGTGGGGCTTGGATCACAATTTAGTGACAAATTCTGTACATATTCTTATTATATCCCACAATTTCTCTTGTACCTTTCATGACGCCTACTGTTTGGCCCAAGATTGTTACTAATGGGGAAGGGAGGGTTCCACACAATAATTTCTATAAATTTGGATTGTGGAGAGAGTGAGAGGAACCTATCAATACCAAAACCATTGTATCTGTTATGCCTTTCAAATCTGTAATCTTGTCTCCAAAGCCTCGTGCAATGTTAAATGATCGCGGCAGTTTTCAGTCAACAATAGGAGGCAGTTGGCCTGTGCTTAGGGGCACAGGATCTATGGTAGATGCAGGGGTGTTTTCTAAAAGTTTACAATTATTTCTATCTTTCTTTTAGTGGATCATAGATTAGAACTTTTTCAGTATACTTTGTTTCTTACAGCCATATAGTACAAGGAAAATATGCCTGTAATGGACAGAATGACCCAAAACAAGAGTAATTCTTTACACTAGGGATACACTTGCCAGAGACTGTCCCCAACTCCATATCACAAAATTTATTCAACACTAAGTTGCTGTGACTGGGCATGTCCAAGGGGAGGGTTGATGGGCAGCTCTATCCCCCTAACACCCCCTGATAAAAATTGTCTTCATTTTGGTATGCATGGCAAAATGGAGCTGAGACTCGGGAGCACCGAGGGAACGGGCTGAGCGCATGTTGAGACTGGCACTTTCCGCAATCTTTTTCTTTTATTTGGGGTGTTATTGTTCATGTCTGCAGATTATTTCTTGTACTGACAATTGCAACTTTTTGTCCTCTATAAGAATATCTTCAATTTGCCTTAGCTAAGTGCATCTATACTTTAAAGATTAACCAAAATAATACTCTTTTCATCCATGTTATTTTCTTTGTAAATTTATAAGCTTACCAGAATATATTGAGCCTGAGGTTTGTTGGTTCTTGCTGAAGCACCACCAGGTGTAGAGGCAATTCCAATGAGCATCCAAAAGATGCATGGGTGTCTTCTAAGCATATACTATAGCTTCAATATGTTTATGTTTATTAAGGTTTTAAAAAGATGCACATTATGATCTTCTGAATGAGACAGTCATTTGGTAGATAGAGGCCAACAGATGAGACACAATTTTTTTCAAGTGAGCTCGTTAATGCATCAAGTAATTGCAATGTGGAACATATATTTTCACATTGTTTGCATATCATTACCATGTATATCAATTGTCACCAACTATTCTGTCTCACTCATGATTTATATATATCACTCACTGTAGTCAGCAATTTCATGAAAAATGGCTCAAGAAGAAGGTAGATAGCAGTCCCTTGAATCACAGTGGCAATATGATGGTCAACTGTCTGGTCGATAATGGAAAATGTTGGTAATATTTTACAGTATGGACACACGTGCCCAACTTCATGTCACAAAAGATATTAATCAGAGTTGCTGTGCCTGGGTGTGTCCTTCAGGCACCTCTTGAGGGGAGGTTTGATGTGGGGTTCTGCCCCCAACACCCCCCGGGAAACATTTTCTTCACCTTGATAAGCTTGGCAAGATTGAGCTGAAACACGATACTAATGAGAGGACTTTGGCTAGGAGCAGCATTTTATGCAATGTTTTACCTTCATTAGTGGCATTACTGTTCATGTTTGTGGATTGTTTCTGGTACCAACAGAAACTTTTTGTCCTCAGCAGAAATATTGTCTTCAATTTGTCCAAGCTTAGTGCATCCATATGGTAAAGATTAACCAAAATGCTTACAATAACAAATATTTAACTCTCATTCCCATACCACATGATTAAAGGTGAATACAGCTTCTGTGTTAGAATTTATGGTCATTTTTCACCTTCACTATTATTAATTAGAAACAAAAGATTGTTTGTTTAGCTGTTACACTTTCATTATATTAATAATAATATAGAGTGATCTTCATTTTGTAGGGATTATTGGATATGTATTCTCATTGCTATTATTATTTTTATTATTATTATTATTATTATTATTATTATTATTATTATTATTATTATTATTACTTTACTTATTTCTTTAATTGTTATTTTTGTTGTTGTTGTTGTTTTAATTATTATTATTAGTTATTATTATTATTATTACTATTATTATTACTTTTACTTTTACTATTAATGTTATTACTATCACTATTATTATTATTACTTTTACTGTTAATATTATTATTATTATTATTATTATTATCATCATCATCATCATTATTATTGTTATCATTTTTTTTTTTTTTTTTTCATTTATTATTATTATTATTATTAGTGTTGTTAACATTGTTATTTTTGTGATGATAATAATAATTATTATTGTTACTTTTATTATTACTGCTATTATTATTATTCCTATTATTATCGTAACTATTACACTACTACTATTTCAAATACTGCCACCACCATTATTATTATTCCAATCTATTTATTATTTTCTTAAATGTTATATATTTACTCTGTGTGTATGTGTGAGAGATGGAGACACAGACAGACACAGACAAAGAGAGGAAAAGAAGGACAGAGACTGTGGTAAACATCTTTATTTCCGGCATAATTTTTAGTGCAACAATGAGCATGAACATATCTACAAACAATTAGAGCTAAACAAAGCAGGGATAAGTATTAGAGGTTACAGAAATACGTGGTGATAGAGGAGTTATAATGGTGATTAAATAAATGTAGCATAAAATAATGTGTAAAGAGACCAACGAAGAACCCTAATGATTTTCAAATTATTTTTTCTTATCCAAGTTGAATTTATCTTGTGAAATAAAAAGCATTCCCATACATAGCTGGAGATAAGTAGATTTAAGGTTAGATATACAAAACAAGTGACAGAGTTAAGGAAAAAAATATTAGTTATAAGTAAAAAAGATTAAGAGAAATTTCCTACCTTTGCACAGGTTGATAAAAACATGACATGTTTTGGACTCTAAATGATTGCAAGATCCATTTTGAACTCGTGGTTTTCATGTCCACCATAGTCTCAGTGTAGCACCTGCATTGCACCCTCCATAGTTGAATGGAGGCAAAACAAGCAAACTCGCATTCACACATACGATTATGTATATGTATGATGATGCATTTTATCAAAGTGAAAGCTATAAAAAGCTCCTTTTGTATTTCAGTTTTGAAAGTTGTGAAGGAGGCGCAGCTAGCTCATGGTCTTAGGCACAATGATTATCAACTTTACCGTCAGTATTGTAGCAGGCGGATACGACGCCTGCGAAAGAACCTTAAGCTCATACAGGGTGACAGGAAGAACTTCAGGAAGAAGGAAGTGACAGTGAATTTGCTGAAGGAGGAGAGGTAAATATTCTGAATGTTTAATGTGTCTATGATATGGTAAGCTCTTGGCCCCTTTACCCTTCTGAATCATTTTCCTTTTTTAATTGGTATTCTGCTTTTCAACAGGTTCCTCTTCATCCCTCTTATGACAATAGAGCGTTGCTGGGCTTATGCAATGCAACTTAAAGAAGAAAGCCTTCAAGATAACAGAAAAAAGTTTTCTATGCGTAACAAGCTTAGAAAAGCTGCAAAGTATGTTGTAGCTTTTGAGAAACTTGTGGAGGTATGAATTTTAGAAAAGGTTTTCTTTACATATTTCAAGCATGCTGCAGAAAGAAAGTAGTGTTTATACCATAAATATAATTTCTTGTTTGTAAGTGATGAAATTTTTCCAGGACTGTGGTGTTTGTGATGCCAGAACACAACTAGAGGTACAGGGTTACTCAGCCTGGCTCCAGGGAACTGTCCTGTTTGAGCTGGCTGACTGGTCTTTGGAATGGGATAAACCAGTGGAATTTTTCAACAAGGCCTTGTAGGTGCAATTGTGTTGACTTGTTACTTCTAGACATATTTATCGTAATTTAGAAAATAATTATCATATATAATATAAACGTCCCTTATTTTACTCGGTAAGCTTATATAACCCCTTTTCCTTCATCATGAAGCTAATGTATATTAGAAAAAAGTATTTGTATGATTTATTTGCTTCAATTATTTATACCAGGTAAATAATTTGTGGTTTTGATTTAATATACTTATTTGTTCGTTGATAGCTTTAGAAATGCTGAATCACCAAGGAGTTGATTATCATGCCTACCTGACCTTTTGTATGACCTATTCCTTGAATTTTCCATTGTTATTATCATTAGGAATATTGTTGATTTTAGTATTGTCATTATTATTATTGACATTAACATTAGTAATATGTCAATATTATTGATAATGATAAAAGGGACACAGATTTAAAATAAAAATCAAGGAATGATGTTAATACTTGGGGGCAGATAGGCACTCATAGTAGTTGATTGTGTATTGACTGAATGCTTGTGTTAACAAATCTTATAAAGCAAAGCCACAATGAACAGTGGACATATACATGCACTCCCAGCATCAAAGGATCAATACAAAACTTGAACTTTAATTTGATATAAGGATTTAACTTCAGAGATAAACAATATGTTTGCTTAATAGGATTAAACTTTACGTTTCTCTGCTGATCTTATCAAAATTAAGTATTCATATTTTCCAAACATCATCATTTCACAGAGCAATTTACAGCAAATTAAAGGAAGCAGTGTCAGAAGAGGAATCTGAAGTATATGCAAGCCGATTACAAGAACTGGAAGTAAAGCTTAGGTTCTGCCGTCACCATCTAGGCGACAAAATGGCTACAGACACACTATTAGCCATGAGAGGAAGTGAAGCTCTTGGAGATAAACTGGATGTAAGCATCAGTTTTTGTGTCTGTTTAATTCATGTGTTGCTGCTTTAATAATTTCCTTTTCTGTTGTCTTTTCTTCTAAGATATTGAAGTTTCTGTATAAGATGCAGTAATCCCTGAATTACTTACAGATTTTGTAGGGATTTTACCCCTCTGTGCAATATGGATTATGGTCTCTTCATTAAATCTTCAAATTGACCTGATTCCTAATTTGGGCAAAAATTTCATTGGGGATGAGAAAGGGTAAAAGTGCTCATCTGCATTGTTTATAGTAATTTCAAAAGGCCTACTATTTTTACATACATTTTTACAGAATCTCTTGGCTTCAGCCAGAGAGCGTCAAGCATCTACCCTTAGTGAAGTAACATGGAGAGGACGCACATTGGCAGTAAAGCATGAAAAGGTAATCTTGAATATTTTGATTCAATCTTTAGTCTCTATGTTTTTCAAAATAGTATGTGATGTTATCTGTTACATAATACTATTTTTACTAATCAGAATTTTATACCCTTATGGATAATGATTTTTTATGTTAATTGAAACAAGTTAGTGTGATTCTATCCATCTTACAAAAAAAAGAACAACAACATTTTCTAAATAATTTTTTCCTGTCATGATAGCAAAGAGCTGTAGAAAATCATCAGTGCATTATGATTTAGAAAAGAAGGAATAATACCAGTAAATTGGTGGCTAATTCTGGTGTTATGACGGAAACAGTGATGATATGATAATGCTTTCAGGTACGCCTGTTCTTGCTGAATGAAGGCCTAATTCATGAGGAGCTAGAGAATATTGAGAGTGCTGATAAGCGTGTCGAAATGTTGGATAAATTGTTAATGGAATGTAAAGATGCTCTCCAGTTGGTGAGAGATGACCTGAAAAATGATCCTGTAAGTTCCTTTTTATTTGTTATGTCAGATCCTGACTGTTATATAAGCCATGTATTCTTAAATGTTGCAAATGAAGCTGTAGCTCATTGCTGCTTGCTCAATCTACTGTTTGTTTTCAGCATATAGGATATCAGCACTCTGATCAATAACTATTGCCACTTTTCTTGATCAGACTTTCAAACCAAGACAACAAGTGAATGAGGGTCCTGTCTCACCATTGCATTTCCTACACACCTACTTGTCTTACCACCGCCTCAACCTGACAATTTTAAGAAATGTTGCTCTTGTGGACACTTATCAGAAGATCATCTCTGGAGAAATTAAGGTATGTGTAGTCCTAATCTTCTGCGATCATTCTTGTTGAATGGGGAATATTGACTCTCACACCATAGATTTTTCTGTAGACAATAGATGCTGTATATAATGGTCTGGAGTTATAATGAAAAGAGATGAGAGTAAAAGTATTAGTTGGACCAAGTGTTGTATCAAAACTAGCGTAGTGTATCTGGTCTTCAGCTAGTTAAATACAGTTGGTGAAATAGTCACACCAGTTTATTTATGTGAGCAGTTGTTTAGTTTTATTCCCCTAAGTTTGATTATCTAAGATTAGTCATGTATTCTGTATATCTTAGTTGGAATTGAATTTTTTCTATTTTAATTCGTTACCGCTGGTATATTTTGAAGCCGAAAATAAAAGCTTCCGGGCAGCTACAAAATCGGTGTGTGGGGCTGGCCTGGCCACGGCCCGCTGTTGAGTTGGAGTGCGAGCCGTCAGTTGCTCCAAATACATCACGGGCTGCAGCTGGCACGCAAGGCAGCCTGGAATCTGCCTGATTTTGTAGCCGCCTAGAAAATATTTTTTTGCTTCAAAATATACCAGTGTTAGTGGGTTAAAAGCAGTGAAGGCCATGTTACTTCTGTAATACAATGACAATTGTGATATTCACTACACTCTCAATGCTGTTGCGAGTGCAAATAGGTATGTTAAGTAACAGTGACAGAACATTTGCACTTCAAGGTTATGATACTGTAAAATCAACTTCCAGTTTTTAGATTTTACTGTCCAAAAAAAATTACAAATGAAAAGTCCTATGTCTATGAGTGGTAAAGGACAAGGAAAGTTGGTACTGGATATACCTCTAATACTGGCTGTAGCAAGTAATCTCTTAGATGGTAGTTTATTATAAGTGTTCAGGAAAGGTTTTACAAACAATATG